GGTTCTACTTAGTCACCCTGACAACAAGACCATGTTTGGTCATTTAAGTTGAAATAAAGACTTATAACTGTTGTTTTCCCCTTCATGATATAAATAAGAGTTGGGAGGCCTTCTCATATAATTGTGGGAAAAGTACACTATCAGCTCTTGACCCACCTCAACCACCAGGGGTGATGGAGTTTTCTCTTCCTTCCTTTGCTTAATGAATACCGCATTACTCTGTAGTACACATGTAGTCATGGAGTTAAGCTAAGGTCAACAGTGCCGACACATTTGAGCCGGAGTTTGAGTGTAAACTGTGGCAGCCTAAACGAACCATCTTCGCAGACGAGTCTCGGAGGAGTTGGCCTCGGTGTGAGATTGCGGTCGACAAGGGAATATCCCATAATTGGCTCTCATATAAATCGTAATTCACTAATTTCGCATATTTGCACCGTTTATTCCCTACTGTTTAGACAATTTGGTTCGCGTGCTTACTCAAAATGGCCACAAACTGGCGCTGATTGCATTAGAAGGAAATCTCAACCGCTGATAGCAGAATGTGGATCCTTCCCGTTTGAAGACATTTAAGCGAAATAGAACATTTCTTCGGTTTAACCGGTCATCCTGTGAGCAATTAATTTCATAAGACTTGCGTTTTAAGAGTCTTCCACTATCTTTGACTAATTGTCAATGCTCGAGACTTCACAGCCAAAACACAGGTCTTTACCGACCCAAAAGATGCGCCAAAAGTTCTTCTTCAACAAATTTGCCATAGTCCCGAAGAAGTAGTCTCGAAGCAATCAATATTCTAGGCTCCAAGCTGAGCCCGGAGTCGTCTCTTGTGATCCCTCGCATGTACTCATTCATGCATACGCATGCATTGACGGCTAAACCACATGCTACATGCAGTAATTCAGCTCTTCTGTCAGGTCAGCAGGCCGTGTGTCCCTTTGCGAGTGTGAAGTTGCTGACTACAACTGGCTGCCATCTCAGTCGCCCTGGCGAGAGGTGTAGGTCGGAGCTGGGGGAAGCTGCTCTTTGGCATCATCACTTTAGCGCAACTCCAACACGTGGTCTACAGCTTCAATCTCGCTCATTCTACGGTTTGTTGGGACGTGGTGGGACTGTTGGCTTCGTCTCGTGGCGACCATGCCCTGACTAGGCAGCAGGAATGATCCATGCCATTTCTGAGCACAATACGGACAGACGAAGAAGAAGAGGAGTACAAGGGTTGTCTTTGAGATAACTTTGCATTGAAGTAAGCAAGAGATTACCGCCATCACCTTGCTCACGTTTAGGACTACGTAAAAACGATCCAATGGCCGATAAGAAGGAGGGATTAAGGTTTCTTGATACCAGGGCAACAGACATTCAACGAATCCCACATGTCCAGTCGCCCTTTTCGAGATGGCACCAGAAAGAGGGTTAGCACCTAATCTTGTGGGATCTGGCATAAGTTTGCGAGTATATAAATTAATTTAAATATTGAGATGGATTCATCCTATTTCGTCTGAGGTGATGAAGGACTGGTAGTAGAATTTTCCCACAATGATATGAGTTGAGCTGACGTTCCCATTCAATTTCACATAGCCATGCTTTCCCAAAAGTTGATAAGATCGATGCGAGGTCGAAACCGCAGCCCACTTCAGCCTGGATGAGAACAACTTTTGGGAAAGCAAGGCTATGTGAAATTCAAAGGAAAACGTCAGCTCAAATCATATCATTGTGGGAAAATTCTACTACCAATCCTTCATCATCTAAGACGAAATACGGTGAATACATCTCATTCTACTGATTTACTGGTAGTCTCGAAACCCTAATCTCATACGAAAATAAATTAAATAAATTTTATCTCGTATTCGAAAATTATTCGAGGTAATTCGGATAAGTTAACATGTCTTCGATAACGGTGCAGTACAGGATCGAGTCAATTGTTAAATGTCATCAAAACGATGCAAATGAATAGCATTGATTAGCTGTGGTGCTGTCTGGCCTCGGAGTAACTAAGACATTATAATGAGGCAGGGTCGTAGCACATTACATAATAGGAGTGGAGCATGTATCATGGGAAAAGGAAATGTAGAAGCAGCGCTTAGAAAAGCTTCTTGATCAGTTGGTTTGTGCTAGATTGTGATTTCTCATCTGCACAAATGTCCATGATATCATGTCCCGGGTAGGCTCTGCGATACCGATCATTTTGGGTGTAGCTTGGGGTCCTTACTGACCAGCATAATTGCTAATCTACATGAGGATATGCCATAGATACGAGATAGTTGGACTTGACCACATCCATGCATAGCAACGCAATAAACTAAGGCATAGAATACGAAATATATACTATGAAAAAATATTGTTTTCAAGTGAATTTGTATGGCAGCTAATTTGATCATTCTCAACTGCAATCTCGCATAAAAGGGAAAAATTTGTTCAGCCCCATTTATATCCAAGCTCATGGCATCTGGTGGTCGGCTGTATGGCAATTAGTCGAAAAAGAAATTCACATAATTATACATGTGAATTAAAACTTGCCACTTGGACTTGCGAGCCCGAACCAACGGTTGCCTCCGAAGAAGAATACAATTTGATAGGCAAGGCTAATAAGTGCGATTC